AGATGCGATTCACTGGACCGGTAATCTGTGGATTTCATGTTAACAGACGGAGCGCGCCGAGGTGATAGCCACATATGCTTTGTGCGGCTTTGCCAACATCGGCTCTATCGGCATCATGCTGGGGGCAATGGTGTCGATGCTGCCTCACCGACGTGAAGACCTCTCCAAAATGGTACTCGCGGGTATGGTAGGAGGCACCATCGCTTGCTTCCTCACTGGATGTTTTGCAGGTGAGTCAATCCTTCAGTCCTCTCCGCCCTACGCAGCAAAGCGTATCACGACTTTGCATCCTGCAATCGGCTATTGGCAGGTTCCTTAGCTCGTATTCTTACCAGGTCACAAATACATTCACGATCTCCCACCTATAATAGAACCTATTTGCCTTTAAAAACCATACGCACTAGACTCGAATTCCATTAAGGCGTTATTGAATTCGCGATCCTGAAAACAAGAATATCAACATCATTCACTTTTTTGGGTAGCTAGTTACCTTACAGATATAAATAAGTCATTTCTTCGATTTTAGGTCTCTTCTACGAAGGTTCATGAGGAAAAAAGAAAAGTGTCAGAGGGTGTTTTGTATTTGTCACTTTTTTACATCGCTCCATACGAAAAGAAAATACAGCTATTTTGCACTTCCTTCACGACTCTTTTAATCCTTCCAAGCATTTTCGCCATAATAGCCTTGTTGCTATCCCCCATTCTTTCAAAGTTTAACATGGGACTTCATCGACATTTCATTCGACTATCCTCAACGCTTACGAGAATCTGCACTTTATCGACAGTGGTTTAAAGTTCTAATCACTGGGCAATGGATGATTTACACCCCTTAGAAGTGGTGTTATCTCGATTAAACCATCAATATCTCCGAAAACATAGCATTTTAGGCTTGTGATAATATTCGAATTGCGTCGATAGCACATAAAAACGCATACATATATACACATATATATATATATGTGTATGGAGACATGTTAGCCGTTTGCAATGCAATATCGTCTGTATTCAAGCAATAATACTTGTGGGGTCACATGCTTTGAAAATTGGTGTGGTCAGAAGCATCCTTAGGGTGTGGCTATTGACAGGCGATGTTAAACGATCCCGGGTAGGCGTAATGATGCAGTGAGTCATGAACTGTGAAAAGACTGGCACACCTTCCAAATATTGGGGATAATCCAGATTCCTCAACAGCTCGTAGACTTCTGTGTTTTGCGATTGGTATCACAAACGAATAATGACATCAATTGCAAAATAATCTTTTAAACATCGTCAGTTTGCGCACTTGTCTCATAATTAACCTAAGAGTAATAAAACCAACTCAGTTGAAAATGACACGAAATGTCAAGGGGGACTTCGCTCGATGAAATAGAAAATGCGTTAAAGCATGGTAGACCACCCTTAAAAGCTATAAGCTGTGACTTCAGCCATAAAGATAGAGCAACTAATTAAAGACCACAACAGTAATGCTTGGGTTCCATGCAATTTTTTTTTCAGGATCTCTTCCTTTAAACTGGTCCAATGAACTACGCACATTTCGTCAGTTCTATGAGTAGCAAACCGGTAGAGTTCAAAAAGTGGTATCCAAAGTCAAGGCACCTAATTTGTCAAGACATTAAGGGTCGCGGATACTATGATATACAAATACCCTCTACATAAAATTAAATTAACATTTTTTAATTTTCTTACTTCCTAATGTCCATTTAAAGTTGCAAAACCGAGGCTTCTACTTAAAGTCACAGACACATCGAAACAGTACCGCAAAAAAAAACTGAGAGGTAGATGCTAAAATAACCCCCAAACAGTTGTGGCACTAATATGGGACCCAGTCCGCTCACACGAGAGGACGTACCAAAACTCCGGAGTGCTCTTCATGCTTCTCGGAAAAGTGTGGTGGTGCATCGACCAACCAGTGTCCTAAAAGTATATCTATGAGTCTGTCATACAGCTGGTAATAATTTGCGATTCACCAAATCCCGTTCAAATATCAAACACATGTGAAGAGAATGTAAATTCCTAGGGTTTATCGCGCTTTTAATTTAAGTGTTTTGGCACGAAATAAAAAACTCAACAAGGCATATGCTAAGTCGGAAATCATTAACTTGACAATAGGTCCGTCCTTCACCCATTAAAACAACTGAAACACATTGGGGTGCTTGCAAATAAAACTATAGTTTTTAAACAAGGTATAAACTACAAACGCGTCATAAGTTATGTGCGTAAGATCCTTCAACCATTGTTAACGAAACTCTTTGGGAATAGCTCAAAAATCAATGCATTGACCAAACTTATGCAATGCACAATGCTTCGCCTTTGAAACCGAATCCACCCACGAACTAGCCTTTAACTTGGACAAAAGTCCGCTTCTACCTTATCATCCCCGAATGCGCGCATTCAGCCCAATTTGCTGCCTCCTCCTAGATAGTGGGAAATCTCGGAGCACTATGCAGGATAGCTCTGATTAACCCACCTACCACCTTTTTGATAAAATTAAGGTCTTGTACCTTGAATCCGACTCGAAGGCAGTGGAAGTTTAACATCCCAACGCGATGTACAGGCTTAAGGCCAGCAATAACTGAGACAATCGGCATCACCCAGAAGCTCCCTTATCAGATGCAATAGAAGCGCCTCGAGGCTCCCCACCGAGCGGAAGAAGGCGGTAAGTGGAGCTGGATATATGCACTCCAAGGTGGACAAAACAACTAGGCCTGAGCGTGGCCCGTACTCCGACTCACGAGTACAAGAGTTAGGCCGATCCTAAAGTGACCGCCAAACGTCAGACATCAACATAAACAAAGCATTACAGCAATACTTATGGGCGGCTAGTTTGCAGCTTTGAGGACTGTACACCCTCTGACGGTTACAATTGCCATTCCAAGTGTCACGGTCCGAGTTCTTCTATTGACCATCAGTTATAGATAGTCACCTGTAATAAGAGGGAGAGACTGAACTTTGAACAGAACCTCAAGTCGACCAAGGCAATCATGAACGGTATTAATCGCCAAAGTTATTACCAACCTGCAGACATTCAAACAAACAATATCACATCGATCGCCCAACATTACGCACGCTAATCTACTTAGAACTTACCAGTAACTATCCGCAATAACCAAATTTCAAATTTGACTAGTGTGTAACATCAAAAGAGACTACCCTGATCTCTAATCTTAGTTTCATGACAGGAATAAAATACCTCTTCCACAGTGACTTGCCTTAAGCATTTCAAGAGGAACCAAATGCGGAACAGGCATTCTGAGCTTTTCAGAGTAGACATCAGTGGCAATGCGCTGGTAGTAGTAGCAACAGCTAAAACTTCCTTAACATAAAAGACAATCGATACTCAACATAATAGGATCTGCAGCAAAGGTAAGTCGAGTAATTCATTTACCTGAATGGGCACGACTACGAGCAGACCTAGTGTATTTGCAGCTTTGCCGCTGAAAGCGGGCGACCCCACTTAAGGATGAAGAGCCAAGACGACTCACCTCGGGAGGTGGATGAGTGGAATAGAATGTGACAGCAATTTTCACGACAAAAAAGAGCAAGAAACCGTAAACCGATAGAAAAAACGAAACGAGACTCGAAGAAAGGCAATGTTGCAGCCGCAGCCACAACGAACGCCAAAAGGTAACAGACGGAGGGCCTCCGAAAAACTTAATTAGGAAGGTCAACTGATCCTTAAAATTAACAGGCACGCATTTGTCCTACACATGATTAATATGACTGATAAAGGAAACACCCGCAAAGCTACCTTATGCAGGACACTCAAACCGCAAATCAGTGCACACAACCAAGCTATGCCCTGTCAAGCGCAACCACACATGCACACCTTGCGTAAGATTGACAAAGCAATAAATCTCGCAAAGAATCTTTATTTCACGGAATCCGATATAAATTTGACATAACAGCAAGTTGCGAAAATGCATTATTCTCAGAAAAATAAAGACGCCCAACGAGCATCAATCGGACTCAGCACTTATTGCATGCATACACGCACTTGCTCAGAGATCTTCGTCTCCTTCGTCTGGCAATGGAGCCTGCGCAGCCATCTAAAGATTCAGATAAATAAAAAAACCAGGGTCTACTTGAAGTTCGAGTTCATAAGCCTGCGCCAAATTCTGGTCCATTTGTATATCTGGAGGTTGAAGAGCTGGCATGGCTACAAACTCGAGGTTGGGATCACCAAACAATTTCCGAGCGAGCCAGAGAAAAGGCTTCTCGAAATTGTAATTTGACTTGGCTGAAATATCGTAGTACTGAAGATTCTTTTTCCTGTGAAAAGTAATGGTCTTGGCCTTGACTTTCCGATCCTTTATGTCCACTTTGTTACCACAAAGAACAATGGGAATATTTTCACAGACGCGAACAAGATCGCGATGCCAGTTAGGCACGTTTTTGTAAGTAACACGACTAGTAACGTCAAACATGATGATGGCACACTGGCCTTGAATATAGTATCCATCACGAAGACCACCAAATTTTTCTTGGCCAGCAGTATCCCACACATTAAACTGAATCTCCCCGCGGTTAGTATGGAAAGATAAAGGATGAACTTCCACACCCAAAGTGGCTAAAACGCATTCCATAAAAAACACAACAGATGCTTACCAACGTACTTCTTTTCGAACTCTCCCGTCAGATGACGCTTCACAAACGTTGTTTTACCAGTGCCTCCATCGCCTACAAGAACGAGTTTAACGGCCACTGGACCATCAGCAGTCATCCTCAGTGCTAACTGACGCGAACCACCTTAAAATTCACACAATGCACGCCTACCAAAGGGCGTGCTAAAACAATCTTTGCCGACAACTAAAACTTTAAGCAGAAGACTACAAGTTTCTGGAAACTTTATTATTTAAGGTCTAAGTTCACTTTAAAATTCATGCAAGTTTTCCAAATTGATCAACGTCTAGTCATAATTTCTTAAATTTTTAAAGCAATAGTGCTAGTGTAATTCTTCATATATGAACCGGTGGTGTCACGATTAATTAAGGAAATTGGTGGTAGCTTGCAACGCTTTCTGTTGATTCGGGTGTCAACTTTCGAACATTTTACCCAAAATATCCCACCAAAAACTGATCTGCGAAATGGTGACATAATTTGATAGTCGACATGAGCAGAAATTAGAATAAGTATCCGCATTAACGATTTTTCGCCATCTCACGGCAATTTATCATTAAAAGCTCACATAAAGATGCTGAAATTTGTTTGGCAACGAAATCAGGGCATCGTCATTTACCCCGTTTATCGTTAACTGTGGTTCAAGCAGATTAGGATTGTTCTGTACCGTATGACATCTTTCAACTACCGCTTCGACTTATGGACTCTGTGTCACGAAATTCGCATAGGCTAAGATCTAGGCTAATCTTATTTAATTTTGAGTACTGTGATTTGGTAAGTGGGAGTTGAAGGCCAAATCGACTGGATGCTCAGTTTATTAACACAGCTGCATTTCTCCAGGTTGATTGACTTCATAAACCAGTGGCGCCCACAATTATGTTTGATTCACGCTTTCAATAATCAAGCGCAAATAGCGACAACGGTGTAGTTTTTACTTTAGGGAGGGGACAAGTCCTTAGTTGACGCTCGTTTAAAACCAGCTGAATTTCAAGCCCTGGCACGCAGCTGATAGCGCAAAGCAGTGACTCTGCTAAAAATTGAGCTCACTTGTTAAACTGATTAAAACCATTGTAGGTTAAGTTAGTGTCAGAGAGCTGGAATATAGTGGGAGAAATTTCTCCCGTGCGAAATGGGCAATTCATCAGTCACTCAACATTTATTGGATTAGCATCTTTGCCTCTATATCCTCGGCCATGGAACCTCGATACCAAATTGCCTAAATGACAGTCACACATACTGCCATCGCGTAAAACTAATAACATGGTGCTATAGCCACTTGATAGTATGAGACCTTGGACATCGGAAGTCTTTGCATAATTAGTGAAGCAATCAATAGTATCCTCCCTATACCCGTTTGTACAGTCAAAATTCGTAGCTGTTTTAATCCACATTTGAATAGTTTGCATTGCAGGGTGTAATCGAAACGCCTTACAGTGCCTACATTACCAGCCATTGCACAAGGTTGCGCCCTTTTTTGCAGTAGTGCCATCGAACATTCACATCTGGATGAAAAAAAGATGCTTTCTTACACATCATTCCTTAGGTAACTACATCACATGATGTGAAATTTAAGCACAAAATAGGGAAGGATAGTGTATCAGTCCCGAGAGTTCCTAGTGGACGGAAGAAAGCATTAAGTTGGACGGGAGCAGAAGGGCTTAAGCCTTAGTTTGCCCTGAAGGCCAGCCCACGAGTACAAAAGACAAGATAGAAACCAAAGCCATCTCCATACATCAGGTTGTCACATAAAGTATTTCGCTGACGCTCTCTTCTTTTAGGTGGTGTTTTGTGCTTCCCTTAATGTAGCATATCCGGTGCTACAATGAGACAACTACGAGCCAGCCATGCCAGTCATCAGCTAACGCGAGACCAAAAAATGGCACTTGATCTTCTCAAAAGCCTTAACTGCGTCTGGAATTACATTTGGCCTGGCAGTGGGAATCAGGGCCGCATACATCTGTTGATCATCAAGTGCTTCCAGGACTAGACGTTCGAACATTAGTCCGAAACAGATCTCTGACAAAGGAAAAGGGATCAACCACAGTTTCGTATGTAAGGAGATCTGCAATAGTGTCATTTCCGATATCTATACGTGGATACGAAATATTTTCTAATGGTTCACGATGATGTCGCCTCACTTGTTAAGAGCTTGTCTGTGGAACAAGGGGGAAAGATGGAGCTAAACACAGATGCTATTCTCAACCTTCTGTAGTAAAGAATTCAGAGAATCTCCAGCTTAGAGTCTATGTACTTCCTGCTTGCAGTAGATAAATGGCACAAACGGTGGATAACAGGATAGGAGTTGGTAAACAAATGCGGGGTTCGCTTTTCGCCTCCACCAGTGCACTGCCCCGAAAATTCCCACTACGTAAGAGAAGGTACTAACTTGGACTGAATACATGTACTCTAGGCGGCTAGGAAGGGATTAGACCTTGGCTTAACCCCAAGGCCAGCCCATTTGTACAGGGTCCAGACGAATACCAAAATCATTGTTAGATACTAGATGGTCACGCAGGCAAAGTATTACAGACAGTTTCTCTTTTTAGGCTAATTCTGACTCCCCTACCTCCTCCACAAAACATAGGCAACAGAATTTGCTATTCATAGTGAAGATTTCGAGATTGATGTCAAGACACCATACTTTTGTCTTAGTAGTGCCACTTTTGTATCCACAGTTAAAGGTAATTTGGTTAAGTTATAAGAAGTTAAGGTTCGTCAAAAGCTGTTTTAAAGGTTCATTTGGATGTTCATGACTTGCAGTGAAAGCGTAAACTTCGTCATGCGACAAATGACAAGTCATGCCATGTTGGCCTGCCGCCTACCCAATGTCGATGCTGCCAAAGCACAACGCTGATTGGTAGTCTCAAGGTCGTTGTGACGTAAGGACATATAAACTGAGCGAGCATGCCAATGAACTATTTGGCGAAATTGACTTGAGTGAGTTCGCTTGCTTCCACTGATATCAGCTTTCTTCATTGTATCATGGTAGTTTTGCTACTCACGTAATATTATCAATGCGCCTAAAAAACTGCACTGAGATTTCATTTTTCATCATTTGGCAGTGCGGTTCTGACATGCAGGCTCATAACCTAACTATGATGAACATAAAACCGACATCATTGAAAGGATATATTTGGCATTCACTGGTTGTTGTAAGAATGCATATTCAATTTGCTTCGGTGTATTGTCACCCTTAGTCACTTTTATGCGGTGAACAATGCATAGATTTCGTTTGTGTGCGACAGCCACTAACGATGCACGAATGCATTACTAAGCAAATGTTATGTTCATTACCCAAACAAATGGTTTTCAAGTAAAATTCCACTCCACAAATAATCAATTGTGTCAGACCGAATGCAAAACTTATATTATTACCAAGCAGACAATGGCAGCTCTCTGTCCTGGTGAGTTCACTTGCAGCAATAATTGATAAAATAACAGGTTTTTACCTGCTGTGCGGTTGGGGGAGCATAAATTTTAGGAAAAAATGCACATGTTTGCAATCAACCCCTATATTTGAGAAGTGTTCCTACGCAAATTTGAGTAGTGATAGTTGAGCAGTTTAAGCTGTAAATACAGCGTGAGCACACCACCCTTCTAGGTCTTATGTGTTGTATTTTGTGTCTACAATTAAGCTATAGGGAAAATGGCCAAAGTCGGAAATGGTTTCCAAGTTGGCTTGAGCTGGATTCCCATGAGTGGACGCGAAATTCCGTGCGGTGCGATTGAAGTCGACGATGGCATTTTCGTGGCAAGAGGAGAGTTAGATGGAGAAAAGATCCCCGGCAAATACGTAGCGCGTTATCAAACATGCTACGTGCCGTATGGCGGGAAGGAGCACGAACTCCAAGAGTGCGAGATCCTTTGTGACACCAGTGTCGGTTGCGATGGCTCATGGTAGGGCTTTAATGATAGAATCTCCTTTCAGATTGCACCTGTAACTGACACCAGTTTCGTTCCTTCAATGTACTGCCTTTCTGACTTAATAGCTACAAGTGGGTCAGAGATAGCGATGGCGATGTGCCTAAGCATGCAATTGTCGCCGGAGTAGCAAATGATGGTCAACCTCTCTTCGTTTGCAAGGCGCCAGTGGAGGGAGAATTGTGCGTAGGAAAGGTGAGTGCTGTGCTTGAGTAGAGCATCATTCGTTTTCGCACGACTTTTCGCAACGACTTAGAATATGCAATTCCTATTTATATTGAGTTTTGGGATCGGAGTTGGTCGTCAAATGCTTGAAATTTTAGGTTCACAAGGGACACTCGTCAGCCTACATTCCCTACGGTGGCGAGGAGCACTCGGTTGAGAACTACGAAGTTCTTGTTTTGCGGAAATAAGCGTCTGTGCTTTCCGTTTGAGACCGAATAAACACAAATTGCGAATCAATTTCCCTTTTTACTTTCAAATACCTCTTAAAGATGGTGTGTCGCGATACACTGCCTGTGGCTTGAATCGATCTCGGCAAAACTTCGAGTTTGGAAGAGGTACCCTGTCGTGAGAAACGGGCTATAAGGGTCATCGCCTTGAAACAGGCTGCTACGAAATACCTTTCGTCCTGTTCGCAATCTGTTACAACGGGTAAATGAAGAAGAGCAGTGGAAGCTTCTACCATTTGCCATGGAAATCATTTGAGAAAGTAGTGAACTTCATTTTGGATTAGAAGTTCTGGAGAACGGTAGACAAGTGAGATGAGGTGGAGAAAAGGTAAGTGGTAACAGAATCAAGAAAAAGAGAATGCAATTCTATCAGAGAGTGGGTCAGGTATTGGGTAAGGCGGAGGTGTTAACTCTTGTGCAATTGTAGAACGAGGCAGTTAGCTGCTCCTCACTAACAGTATCACGCAATAACGGGCATAAAAAGACGATATTAACGAAATAGAGTAGAAAGGTTTTGACCGTACTCCAAGCGGTTTCAAGAAGCCGACGCAAAAGCTGTCATTTAAGGACTGGAAAAAAACATTTATCCGTGTCAGTGGTTAAACCAAAGTGAATTTCAAGTTTGAGGTCAGTCTGTTAGTCATTGAAGAGTCACGTGTAAAGGTGAGCAAAATGCCAAATTTTAGAGCGACTGTTCTGCAACTGGTAGAAGCCATTGCAAGCCTAAATGACAACCTTATCATTCTCCCGTACTTTGCAGCAAATTACATTTGAAGTTTGACCGGTCTTTCTCACCTTTAGTAAGAGAGGGGTTTTAGAGCCCTGGTTCTACACAGTCGGTCCTCCCTTCCTTTCTTACAGTTCTGTGGGTGTGTTCTTGTCAAAGTTTGCTCATCTTAAGGCACCTGTAACGGATCTATTGGATGGACGTCATGCAGTACCGCTACTTAGCTAGAAAGGCTGCTTTACCTGATGTTAGTGGACGCTGGAGCAAAAGTGTACGGTGGTGATCGAGAATGCGCATCTGCACATGACTGTTGTATCCTTTCCGTGTTTTAGTGAACATCGAAGTGCTACAATGGCCACCTTAGTCCACGCCTCGCAACGTGAAATGGGTTTGTGATCCGGTCAGTGTTCTGCCTGTTCAAAGAAATCAGCTAGGTCCCCCAAATCTTAGCTTTGGTCAACTTTAAAGTAACAAATACTTTTGACGCCTAGGAAATGAGCAAAATCAACCCAACTCTGGGTTTTGCTTCTTGTCTCCCTGTAGTAATGTTGCACTGGGCTTTTGGATAACTTTAAGAGCTTGTTGGTAGCTGAACGTAATCCCACACTCCACGTCATCCTCTAGCATCAAACATTCCCTGAAAGTGTGAAAGTTTTGTCCCCCACTCTTCCACACAATTTTTTCGCACTGGATGAAAGTACTTGTTACTGTCGTTTTGTTTAAGTCTCTTCGTTGTTTCATCGCAAACCTATCAATGTGTAGTTCTCGCTGATCCGTACTCTGAGCACGTTAAATTAACGCAAAGGACGTGATTAAGCGACTTTCATCGACGCACACTCCATCCGCCTCCGTGTGTGCATTTACAACCACCAAGTCCACATCAGTGCCGTGTTGCGAGGCAACGAAGGAGGCGAACGTGTGAACGTGTTGCACTTGTACCAACCAAAGTAACGAAGACTGTGGATGAATGCGGGTGCAGTGGTGTCGGTGTGAGGAGGTGTTCCTCCTCCACGTCTGGGTGAGGTGTTGTTTCGATGCTAGTTATGTCAGTGTCATCGCTTGCAGACCCTCGACGAAGTCTAATGGTGGTGGACAAAAATGACATTCAACAGTACACCTAATTCAAACACCATGATGAGGTGGATTTTGTTGGGGCTACAAAATGTGTTACAGTGTCATTTTGGCCATGTGGTACTTAGTTGTCCAAGTTTTTTGTCCAATCTCGAGACACAAATTCATCATAGCTGTTTACTCATCAAACACTACTAGCGACCAAATCATGAAGGTGTGCTTGGTGAGGAATTGACGCAAATGGTAGTGTTTTATAGTGGTGTAAAAATTAAAAGTCGTCGCTTTCTTCGTTGATTGTCATGTGACACGCATTTCTGCACTAAAATTGGCATTGCGGGATGGTGTCGACAGCAGCAGACATGTTGAAGCTTCATTAACAACACTTCAACTGACTCTGAGCGACCTTTCCTACTGGCATACACTCTCAAGCTTTGTAACATCTTTCATTATTTTTAATGATGGAATTGAGCGATCTTTCCCAAGAATTAATTGTATACTTTAGGGTTGTGTTTTTGTTAATGGGTTTGCAAATTATCGTCACAGTTGTAGAGATTGGCATTGATTAAAAAGGATTTTGGAAACCAAAAGAGTGCTAGAATGAGCTCCTATTAGACAGATAAGCGTTGACAACGAAAGGATACTGCGCCACTGGCGTCGGAAACCTGGCGCAGATATAAAATAAGTAAAAATGGCGTTCAGACTGCCAGCAGAAATCTGATTGTAATCACTCCAGTCCACCGATTGCAGCGCTTGTAGCTCATTTAGAAGTGTAGCACACTTACGCGGGCTCTGGCTTCACCACTCCGCGTGGTATTCTTACAAATGGCACCATTTTTACTGCAGCCGTGTGCAATGTATGTGAAGTTCCATTTCAGTAACATTTTATAGAAGCCTGCAATGTTGGGTTAACCACTAAATTAAAGGCTAACCTTTGCGTTACCTTGTCACTGACAACGTCAAGGTTGAATTTTGACGTGGCGAAAGAAGACTGAATGCGTAATGTGATTTTTAGTCAGTTGATTTGCGCTTGGACCTACATAAGTCGACGCAATTAATTCAGTAAGGAATAATGGTGGTATCGAAAAGGTCATCAACATGTCATTTGTCTGCAACGATGCTGCATCTGCATTGTCACCTCATTAAGTGCAAAAGTACTGAGGTTGCACCTATCATTTGTTAAAAGTACCTTTGGATCCATAGTCAATTGGTCACTTCAAACGAGGTTCTATAGGAGTGGGGAGCAGGAGGAGGAGGAGGAGGAGGAGGAGGAGGAGGAGGAGGAAAGCTCCTTCTTTTGATTTCCGCTTTGTGTTTTAAAGGTGGCAGACCCATAAGAGACCATTACGAAAGAGTAGTGGGAGAGAGCGAGGAAGACGGTACGAGCTACAAATATGAGGCATTGAAAGTCAACGGATGCACAGCCCCATGAACGCATTTACGTGTTCTTCTGAATTAACAATCAGAGATAGTCTTGTTGAGTCTGTTGCAATAACAATTATGGATGGTAAGAAGATCTTGAGCTATGTAAGGGTTTTGGAACAATACGTTGGAATGCTTGTGTGACAGCAGAGGTCATGCATCGGCACTGTCTGTGCTTGTATCACTTGGGGTCATTTTGATGTTACATTTGGCCTTGTTTGCATGGATGAGTAGTAGAGTGCAAATTCAAAGAGACACGTTTGTACGAGGACAGAGAATCATCCCTTACAGCGCGTCAGCAAAACAGGTTCCCCTTGCTGCCATACAACATGAAGGGGGATAAAGAAGGGCTGCTCGCAGACACATTCTCCTCCACCGTTGGACAACAAATTGTCCGCACAACTCTGCCAAATACCACCCTCAGCATTCCAATGCAAATGCCGTTGAGGTGAGAAGCAACGACGCATCCCTGTGGAAACCCAATGCTCATTGATGTCGCCACGGCAAGGCGCAGTCCCTCAACGACGTGCTCATTCACTCTCCTCATTGGGAGAGTGAACTGACGGTGACCCGAGTGCTCGTTTCAATGCCGGTTGTTTTGTCTCGAGGAGAGTGGAGAGTGGATGGGTAGGACGTGGTGTCAGCTGAGTGCTATTCCACCTGTACGACAAAGTAGTCGCCTGAGAGGATGGAAGGAGGCATGGAATAGGGCACGTTGAGTTGCATGGGAGCAGGTGGAGAGTGGGAGATGGGGTAGGATGGCTGGAGTTGGGTGAGCAGAAGGGAGCTGAGAGGGTCAGTGTCGTAGTTAATAACTTTATCAAAAGAGAATTCTAGAGCACTACTTTGTTGGGGTGGCTAGAGGAGGTAAAATTGGAAGAGCGAGTTAAGTCAACAGAAGTTTTAATGCTATATGAAAAGGTATTAGTAAAGCTAACTTTGTTCCGCTGTATTGATCCTACTTATAGCTTTAAAATTAGTGAAGCAGTTTAATATGAGCGAGCCTCAGTCGTAGATACAAGTTTAATGCTCATGTCGGTTTTTCAACCCTTAGTTGAGGCTGCGACCATTTATCTGTCCAATGCTGCATTAGAAATGCAATCATTTGTGCCTCGTTTCACCCCTACCTTCGGTTAACCTTTTCGGCTAACACTAGAGACCTACGCAAATGCATCACCGCTTCGTGCTTCTGAGTAAGAACACACTTTGGTGCTATTCCACTGCGATTAAATAGGTGCACTTTACTGGGGTAATCTGTAATATTTAAATTGTTTATGGTCGAAAATTCTCTGGCACATAGAAAGTATACGAGACGTTAAGGCATGCTCATTGACTACAAAGGTTACATCAATTCAAAGGTAGTCTGTAGATAAAAATTTTGCTCCACAGGTTGCACCTTTGAAACAAACAAGGACAGAAGGAAGGCCGTTTGTAGTTGACGATTCCTAGCATACCGACACTGATGGGAATTAGACATACATATGGAATCAGCACGTAGATAAAGAGGGTGAAATGTGTTGCATGCGTAATGACCGCGTTATCGTCCCAAAACTAACCATTAGGTAGAAAAATGCATTAAGCTAAGATGAATACTTGTTATCAGTGAAGAAGAAAAGAGATTTACTTCTTACTTGAACCGAATTCTAGCCTACGCAGCCTAAAGCAATATGAATACAAAATTGACTGCCAATCATAGTCTCTGAATAAAAAAAAGCGTCTTCGCATCCGTAACAGTCAACTACTGCTTCATTAAGAACTGAGTGAGGACTAAGTTGCAAGCTGCACATTCAAGGTCGCCACTATTTGGGCATGACATCCTTGCTAGGATCTAGATAAAAAGTCCTCACTTGACAGTTGCCTCACTTCTACTTTCAAACATGGAAGAAATGATAGGACCGATTTACTTCTTTACCCATATCACTATATGAAACAAGTGATAAGTAGACGCCTAAAACAGTATTAAGTTCACTAAACACGTGAGTAAACTTCAAAAATCAGCCTTTTAAAAGACTCCAATACGAAGTTATTGTTCCTATCAATGATCATAGTGACTGTGCGATAAATAGCAGTGGCACGGATGGGTATGACACGGCGCTACTAGGAAAATTAACTGTGTATCTGATCTCATTGGAACACGTCGTAACAGATTCAGTGGTTGGAAGTAGCCGATGACTTGCGACACTACAGTAATGCTGAACACTTTCACATCAACTTCTGGCAGCAACCTGTAATGTATGATGTTTTCTGTGGAATAAATACTAGTACGCGTCGGTTTATCTTTATAGGAGATAAGCGGGAATTCAACTCGAACACGAACCCAGTGCGTGAGGAGCGTGAGGATTCCGTATCCTTGTGATATCTGATCTCCCGCTCGCCTATATTCCCCATTTCCCTCTTTCTGACACAATGCCAAATAAAGCTTCTGTAACCAACACTCCCCTGAAGTCCGAGGTTCAAGAGCATTAGGATAGGTAGACAGTTCCTACATTTTGCATCACAAACAGTCGCTGTAGAAAAGAGACTATGTTTGGTGATACAAGCGCGTTGACAGCCAAATGTAAAAGCTACTGCCTTTTATAGACCAGTTTCACCCAAATGGGCAGCGGAAATGTTAAGCCGGTCGCATAACCTACCGATGGGCATAAACCCATGGCCTCCAAAAGACAACATTCTCATGGCATTGAGTAGAAAAATCATCACCATATTGTGAGTTGTTACGCCGCATGCCTTGTAACAAAACAAAAAACGTATCCCATTTTCACAACCGAATGATAAAAAATTAAAAACATTTTAGCTTGCAAGTAAAATTATAAACGTTGTCTGATCAAACGTACATTGCACATTACCATTTAAAATTACCTTTTACGCCTATAGTTTTACTTTTCCTATGTTCGGTCGCGTTTTTGAATGTGCGACAGTCTCAGCTGTGCAGCTGGGTAACGCTAAGTATGACGGCTGCCAGGACGTCAAGTTTGTCCAATACACTTTCAAGACACAGGAACACGATTGTTTATATGGCGACTCCTCAGGTCGGGTCCATTAAAAAGTTGTCATTCGAGGATGGCTCTAGATTTTCTACATCTGAAAAGTTTTCCCGACGGGGCCTGGGTGCTTGGTTTACTAGGAAGACTTGCTGCAGGCGCTTAAAGTCTGGTTAAACTGGGAATTTGAAGCGCTACTCAGATGGGTCCTACGGTCACTTGTACCATGGATGTAATGAGGGACAAATAGGCCCATCTTGGTGTCATACTGGTCAATGTAATTTTTGCTGTGTCATTGTTATTCTCTTAATACAATAATCTTTTTTGCTCACCTTTGAGATTGTAATAATGAGTCGTCAATTCCCTCTTTTTTATGCTTTCGTGGGGTACGTTGGGTGTTGTAACGGATAGAACATCTTATGCTTAGTACTCCTTCAAGAGCTACGAAATTGTTATCTTCCTGAGACTTCTTCTTGGGTCAGTTCTTCTTAAAGCGCAATATTATAGAACGGTAGTATATCTGTAATGTGTCTGTAATATCATAACTGATTTTTTACTCCGGGGGATTCGCAAGATTTGCGAATTTGTGCTAAGCCATCTTCGAGTCGATGTTGCTACAGATATTGATTTGGCAAAGAATAGGGCGTAAAATGAGTTATCTTCCGTGGTATCATGTTGTGCCGAGAGTTGAGGACCTCTTAAAGTTTTTCATTATTTAATCAAGGTTTTTTTGGGCCGTTCGAAACGGTGCGAACTGTTTTGGGTGTTCTCAGTTAGCTGCAGGTTTTTAATAGCCAAATGGGATATCGTGCACTAAAAATGCAGAACGAGTGCTAAATTTGATCATGGAATTGGAAGTGAGGTAGACGGAATAAACAGCGTATACCACCTGGTGAGTCCGAAACAACTCTTCAACAATGGTGTTGTCATCTTTAGATCCTGAGCCGACGATACAGGGGCCCTGGTAGACAAATATTGTTACACCATGAGCTAGCTTAGACGTTATGTATGCCATTTAATGACTTCCGAGTTGCTGCGTTTGTATTGAAACCTGAGAAGTGATTTCGAGCACGCAAACATCCCTTTATTTCGCTGTTTTTTTCAGCTGAGTTCCGATTTGGGCATTTTGAGGAAGCGATAACGTGGCACTCAGTTCACTTAGTAAGGGTTGGATGATAAGCCACTGCAAAATATAGGGTGATAGAAGACACTAGTAACTACTTCAGTGTTCTCTTTCGCGGTAAGAGCAAGGCAATTCCTAAAATTTCTTGATTGTTAAACCGACTGAAGTATCCATGAAGGGCTAATGTTGGTCTTTTAAGCATACGCCTCAGAACCAGACTTTATCGTTGTGGATCTCGTACGCTATTCACCACCAAAGTGATTTTTTCAGGCTGAGGTAAATCGGGATCTGGAAGGAGCTACCTTGACGTATGGTTTTATTCTAACGACCTCTATTGGGGAATTTCCCCTTGGACAAACGTAGCGGCGCCGTAAGGCCCTCTGCATCTCACGTAGCAACTAGCGCCGCCCCCGCACTGTGGTGATTGGTAGCCCTGGCGGTTGTCGAGGTTTGGTGCTTGTAGACCGATCAAGGATGTCAATGGACGTGGCAGAGAAGTTGGATTGGGTAAGTGCATACACCCTTGCTAATTTTGATCTTTCTCAATGGCGCCTTTGGGATTTTCCTTTGTCCATTCAGCACTTCTGACTCATCTACCAATTGTAATACTCATCTTGCTAAAATTCCTTTCCCCTTAACTGAAAACTTTCTCTCACCTCATTTTATTGCTACCACATTCTTTAAGTTCATACAATTGCCGATTTGCAAGTAAGTGGGTGCGATGTAGAAACGTGTCTTTTTTCGCGGTACACTGGATAGTGAGTGTATTTTGGTTGCTGGCTGTGTGGGGCCTGATAAACATGAAGTACGTAAATGGGCGTTATTAAACCACCTTGGTGTTCTTAGTTTCAGAAAATGACCATCAAGTACAATCTTACAACATTACCACGAAAATAGATCAGACTGGACGGAATTACAGCATTCGGTATCGACTAGTTTCATTGCAGTGACGACTGATAGCAAAGAAGTGGATATTTGACCTCGTAACCGGTTTTAGGTCATGGTGTTTGTAGAGGGGAGGCATATGTGTTCGATGGACATCTTTGATGGGGATTTAGTTTTAATCGATTCATAATGTTGATGGATAAATCGAGGAGTTGGACTTGAAATGCGAGCCTTGAGCTGTCATTGTGCCTATTCAAGTTGTACGTTCGGGTTGAGCAATTGAAAATGTTACATTTTCTTTCAGAAACAAATTTTTAAGACAAATGGCCAAAGTCGGAGAGGGCTTTCAGATTGGTTTGAGCTGGATTCCTATCCATGAACAGGGCATTCCTCATGGCGCCATTAAGGTCGATGATGGCATCTTCGTGGCAAGAGGAGAAGTGAATGGTGAAAAGATTCCTGGCAAATATCTAACCCGGTACCGGAAATGCTACGTGCCGTATGGAGGGAAGGAGCATGAACTCCAAAAATGTGACATCCTCTGCGACACCAGCTTCGCTTGCGATGGCTCATGGTGGGACTCATTTTTGGTGTTCTCAACCATTTTCTTAGTCTGTCAAAATCAAATTTCTGCAATTCGCACTCCTTCAACTTGTAAAATGCAGCGATTGGGCTCACTCTGCGGGGTGGAGAGAGGAAAATTTAGGCACTTTTAAGCAGTCCGCTTAAAATTTCTATTAGTTGAATATTAAACATCTTCATTGGTGTCCCCTACCTCTACCTCTGCTCGTGTTCTAGTTGACATTTGTCACTATTTTCGTTTTCCTTTCTGGCTTCCAACTTGGATTGTTAGCGACGGATGTATACCTTAACCTTTCCAACTTGACAGCTACACTTGGATGGCAAATACTGGCGGGGACGTACCCAAACATGCAATCATCGCCGGATTGGCAAGTGATGGTGAACCCCTTTTCGTTTGCAAGGCGCCAGTGAAGGGAGAATTGTGTGTAGGAAAGGTGAGTGCTGTATTTGAATAGAACATCATTCGTTTTCTCACGACTTGTTGCGACGGCTTAGAATATGAAATGCCCATTTGCATTGAGTTTTAGGTTCACAAGGGACATTCGTCAGCCTATGTTCCCTACGGCGGAGAGGAGCACTCGGTCAGCAAGTACGAAGTTCTTGTTTTGAGAAAAAAGTGAGCGACTGTGGAAGACCCTGAACTTGACCTTACTCATCACCGTCACGATTAAGCAAGTCCGATTTGTCTGCCATTTGTAATTTTCAAATAAATTGTCTTCAGCATTTTCAACATTTCGCACCTTCCATAATTGGGAGTGATGATGGTGGGCTAACAACGGTCACCACTTTGTAGCTGCACAACACGAGTTCTTTTTTGCTATTTTATGATTTTAGATATGATGACGTTGGGAATAATTTAAAGCAGTTTTATCTAATACTTGGAGGCTTTCTTCAGGCTGTACATAGATCGGGTTTGAAGAATTATTGATGCTGGGTGATGGAAAATTTGCCTAAATTTGGGCGAAAGCAAATGCTGCAAATAAGTCAAATGTTTTCATTCATATATCAAAACTACCAACGTGTAGTTCTCGCTGATCCGTCCTCGGGGCACGTTAAACTAAGACAAAGGACGTGATTAAGCGACTTTTATCGATGCACACTCCATCCGCCTCCGTGTGTGCATTTACAATCACCAAGTCCACATCAGTGCCGTGTTATGAGGCAACGAAGGAGGCGAACGTGTGAACGTGTTGCATTTGTACCAACCAAAGTAACGAAGACTGTGGATGAATGCGGGGTGCAGTAGTGTTGGTGTGAAGAGGTGTTCCTCCTCCACGTCTGGGTGAAGGGTTGTTCCGATGCTAGTTCTGGAAAGTGGTGTAGCTCTACGACCTTGGCAGTGTTATCAATTGCGGACCCTCGACGAAGTCTTCAATGTAGACAGGCATAAATTGGTTCGGAAATTCTGCATGACGGATTATGCGCTATAATGTGATGATTTTCAAAGTGTTCAGATGCGTTTACTAAAAGAGTGACGCAGGGCAATAAACCTTGATGTTGACCTCGGCATTGGCAATAAAACAGTATCCACATTGACCTACTATATGAGTCATTGAATAGGTGAGGTTGCGGCAGTAGACCTAAGCAAGAAAGAAAACCAGCATTTCGAAGAATCGTTAACCTTTGTGAATCCCATATAACGTTTGTATGACTTAGTAATGTAAGAGTTATGTAAAAAATTTTCATGAATATGGTAATTTTTATTCAAAGGAAGTGTGTAAAACTTCATATGTTACAAAACTCTGTGTCATTATAATTCGAAAGCGCATGCTAAGAGCGCATTAGCACTGAAAACCCAACCACTTCAGCGCGTCAGCAAAACAGGTTCCCCCTGCTGCCATACAACATGAAGGGGGATAAAGAAGGGCTGCTCGCAGACACACTCTCCTCCACCGTTGGACAACAAATTGTCCGCACAACTCTTCCAAATACCACCCTCAGCATTCCAATGCAAATGCCATTGAGGTGAGAAGCAACGACGCATCCCTGTGGAAACCCAATGCTCATTGATGTCGCCACGGCAAGGCGCAGTCCCTCAACGACGTGCTCATTCACTCTCCTCATTGGGAGAGTGAACTGACGGTGACCCGAGTGCTCGTTTCAATGCCGGTTGTTTTGTCTCGGGGAGAGTGGAGGGTGGATGGGTAGGACGTGGTGTCAGCTGAGTGCTATTCCACCTGTAGGACAAAGTAGTCGCCTGAGAGGATGGAAGGAGGCATGGAATAGGGCACGTTGAGTTGCATGGGAGCAGGTGGAGAGTGGGAGATGGGGTAGGATGGCTGGAGTTGGGTGAGCAGAAGGGACCTGAGAGGGTCAGTGTCGTAGTTAATAACTTTATCAAAAGAGATTTCTAGACATCTTCCTTGTTACATTGGGGTGGCGGGAACATTTACATGTATGCACCGCTCAAGATGCAATATCTAATTTAAAACTCTAATCATAAATCCATGTTTTTTAATCCAAAACTTTGGTGTTGAGTAATACTTTCAGTCGTACACCTAAAATTCCTTCTGATCAACTATTCTTCTAACTGTTAAACACTAAGCATATCGTAGCATCCTGGAACTTCTTTATTATGGAAAAAGATATTACGTTTGGCTAATAAATGTATTTGAATGAGGTAAGGGAGTACCAATCTTTAACTTTTCCCAAAGATAATTCCAAGCTCACAAATTCAAGAAGAATACCAGAGAAACTGCCACACGTTAGCTGATCACATTCGCAAAGTATTATATTCGTGGCTTTTAGTAACTGCAAATTTAAACTCTTAATGAACAAGTCAAAGATTAAGGATACGTGTTTTTTCTTAAGTTGTTCTTCTTTCGCAGTACTCTTTGTTTAGGTGACTACCTGCGTAGCCGCTTCTGTTGTTTGTAGGTTTATTTTCCTTCAGTGCAGTTTCTGAATCATGGAGGTAGATAGAACCCTGTATGTATCCAATATACCTCCGAAAGCTACAGAAGTTTTGATATATGAACTCTTTCTCCAGGCTGGACCTGTTGAGAACGTATCACTTAAGGATGGTTATGGGTTCGTTACATACGAGGATGAAGAATCGGTCTTGTATGCATGCTCGTTGTTTGAGGGAATTCGGCTCTACAATTATGAGTTGAGAATTAAACCTCGACAAGGATCAAAGTACGAGAATCACCCCATTAAATCGTATCCCCCATATACCTGCGTTCTAAGCTGCTCCCCGGATTGGCCCTGTGAATTCCGTGAATATAGCCATCTTTCTGACTACCACTGCCAAAATAGTCTTCTAGGTTATGCGACAATGACGCCACTGAATTCTCCTTCGGCATACATGGCCTCTCGACTAAATTTTGGGCGCAATTATTCGTTTCAAAATGGGTGTGTGTCAGGTCTCTATTCTGCTTCTCGTGATAGATCTCCACTCCGTCGTACCCATTACAATAGTAGGCGGGAAGTTCATGAGATTCCAAGGAATGTGCGGCGTCCTTGCTATTACTAAAATAAAGTTTCTTTTCTCTTGTCCACATCCGTTATTTTTTCTACTTTACCGTGCATTTAATGCTGCTTTATTTGTTTTCTCTATATTTTCCTCATTAGGGGACATGAACTCTGGCATTGGACATGTACAGAATATATTTATCGTAACGTCTGGCAAGGGGGGAGTCGGGAAGTCGACAATAGCTTGTCGATTAGCAATAGGACTGGCTAAACGAAACCTTAGGGTTGGACTTTTGGACTTGGACCTATGTGGACCCTCCGTTCCCAGAATCATGGGGCTCTGTGATGCAAATGTATTCCTTTTCATTTCACGTCTATTGTTGGTTTAGGTTCAGCAATGTTCCGAGGGATGGCTACCTGTAGTGGCAGATAAGGTGGCAAAGAATATATTTGTCATGTCTATTGCTTTCCTGGTTTCTGATAAAGACTCTGCAGTCGCATGGCGCGGCCCACGAAAAAATGCCATGATTGACCAGTTCCTTTCGAAGGTTTGTTGGGGTCAGTTGGACGTATTAGTGATCGATACGCCTCCTGGCACATCGGACGAACACATTTCCGTGGTGGAGAAAATTAGGATGTATGCGAGTGATCGTCTGCGAGGTGCTATAATTGTCAGCACACCTCAGGTTAGTGGCCAACGCTCTACTCAGTTAATTTTCGTTTTGGAACCACTGAGTATGTTATTTGTCTCCAGCGAGTGGCACTCTGCGATATTCGAAGGCAACTGACATTTTGCAGTAAAATTGGCCTTCTTGTGGTTGGGCTAATTGAAAACATGAGCGGATTTGAATGCCTCAACTGCAAGGAGTCATTCAATCTCTTTGCATCTGGCGGTGTTGAGGCCCTAGCAAACGAAAAAGGTGTCGACTTTCTTGGTAAGTTCTTCGTGTCTATTTTGGTGACTGTCGCACTCGTAGTTTGCGAATTTCGGCGTTAAACATTTGATTAGCCTCAGTTCTGTTCCATATGTCGTTCCGCGTGACATTTTTCTAATTCTACTTTTCGTGAATGCTTTAACTGCTTGATTCCGGCTTTTCTTCGTAGTGGCGAGTATCTTGATATATTGCCTCCTTTAGTGAAAAGTGATAATTAGTAGTTCTTTCGTTTCAAAATCCTGGCTTACTTCGTCAATTTATCTGATGACTTCGTCCACGTCATGCTAGCAAACAAATGTGTGTGCAGGGGGCACGGTTGAAAAACATGTTTCCGTTCATTTACACTCTTCTAGGAAGTCTTACTGTCGCCAAACCCGCTGACTCATTTTTAGGTCGTCTTCCTCTTGATTGTCAAATTACGCGAATCTCCGATCAGTCGGCCACATTTGCGGAGAAATCACAGCTGGCTCTGCCTGTAGACTCTCCAATTATGGTTCACATTTTGGGCAGATACTTTGGAGCTGAGAGGCTGACATCTTAAGGTCCAGCAAACTTTTGTATTCTGAATGTACAATCAAAGAACTTCAGTGCTTTACGTACTATGAAGGTCTTTTTTTTTGGTGTCTGAGGTATGGTGGGATGTCAGAAAGGAAGAGCAAAGTGGAAATGTGGAATCGAGCATAGTTCTAGTGTTTGGGGTCCTTCGCTAAATTAGCCGGTTCTGAGCGTGATGGGTGGTGCGTTACCAGACTAATGCCTTCTGAATAAGTATACCTTTTCTAGGTCGGTAGTATTAACTTATTTTCAAAAGTATCAAGTCTGGAGGGTTAGATTAAAAAGGAGAGGTGAGTGCTAGTGAACCTTGGGGATCTCCATTTAGTGGTAGGAAGAACAAAATTACTCTAGATGCTTGTAATTCTTGCAGAAGCAAGATGGGCGCGAAACTGTCAGCACTGCAAATAAGATACAATAAATTCAATTTTTGAGTAGAAGCAATATCAAGATATCAATGCCTATTTACCGGCTATCGAAACTACAGCCTGGGGATAGGGCTTGGCAGGATTAGCAGAGAAAGAAGACCTGGTTTAGTTGAACGATACCGGTATAGGTTACTTGGTTAATAAATAATTGCATAAAGCACAGTGGAAGAAAATTCTGTGTATTTAACCTAATAAGACGAAACCAATAACAAGGGATTCTAGCAAAATGTCCACAAAGTACTGTATGGTCGTTTGGTTGTGTCTTTATGCTGATCAGGCGCATATCTTCAGTGGGACGTTTCATGTTTTCAGTAATCCAAGACGCATTTTAATAGTTAACTCAAGGTCGCGATTGCTGTGCTGACTTCAAGTTCGTGAAGGTTATGCATTTCTGGTTGGATGCGGGACTGTGTCGTCTTTAGTAAGATCGAATTACTTCACACGCGTAATACAACCATAATCTTTTGACAGGATATTTATAAATGGTATGGCTGATGACTTTCGTCTAATTTGTAATGTAGATCCAGTTTTTCCTTCTATTTAGTAGGCAAGGAAAAGTTCGCCTACAAAAATGGTATTTATCGTACCCTGATAAAGAGAAGAAAAAGATAATACGTGATATAATATCTGTGGTTCTAAATAGAAGGCCAAAGATGTGCTCAGTTTTGGACTGGCGTGACAAAAAAGTTGTTTATCGGAGGTTGATGTTCAAATATTTGTGACAAGTTTTAGGTATGCCAGCCTTTACTTTTGTTGTGCAGTTGAATTGGAGGACAATGAATTGATTGCTCTTGAAATTATGCATCGATATGTTGAGATACTGGATCGCTATTTCGGAAGCGTAAGTTATTTCTCTCAGTCTAAATCATGGACAACGACATGTTAAAAGCATTGGAGTCTTGGGAACCATTTTTGTCTTTGAGTTGTGCTCTACTTAGCCCTGTCGGTATTTTTTGGTCTCAGTTATTGAACTTCAAATATTCTTTCATTGTCCTCTTTTGCAACACCAAGTATATTGAAATGCATATCACATATACTTGGGTTTCATTTAATCTCTTCCCGGGCACAGAGAACTGCAACCTTGCGGTTTACTTTGTATGTCGTCACTTAGCATGCGAGCTATCATCCAGTACACCTGCGGTGTTGATTTAGGCGAATCCCTTCGCATGCCCCATTTTAGGGTTAAAAATTGATTTGCGGATTTTTTTTGCGGCAAAAACTAGCTGTCCGTTCTTCTCCTCCAAACCTCCAAGGGATGTGTCTATTCAGCTCTTTCGTTTATCTCTAATACCTTTAAAGTATGCTTTTTGGGATACGATTTCTACAATGGTTCTGGTTTTATTCAATAATCTGGTTATTATTTTGTTCGCTTCATTATACGTCTTGAGACGTGTCTTGTCTAGTCTTTCGACTGTTTTCCACTGGTAAAGCGATAATTATCATTTTTCAGGAAATCTCATTGTGTGGCAATCATTACTTTTAGATCAGTTGTGTTAACATCACGGTGATGTCTGATAGGAAGGTAACCCACTGAAGTCTTAGTTTAGCCATTGTTTATAAAAATTAATATTGATTTTCGAATAATATCACTTCTTATGGCTTGTGCTCTTTGCTTCAACTTTGTCTAAAATTTTCGACGTTTGACTGTTTCATGTAGGTGATCACTTCCTTTCAACGGTAAGCTATCCTTTCCGTACCATTTTAATTGATAGAGGCAAAAATGCGACACCAGTCATTAACTGTGCAGGTTGTGCGCAACGTGAAAACTTGGGACCGTACGTCACAATCGTTGTTTATTCATCGGAAACGGTTGAAGCATTCGTTCCTCTGGTGGATGGGTCGGGTCTTCTCACCATATCTACTCGATCAAGTCAAAGGTTGCGGCTCCGAATGGGAAATATTTGAGCCGTGACTATCTTTAGTATCGAAATCTCTGCTCCGCTATGCTACCCATATTCGCTGCTTTTTTATTCTTACGTAGTTTTTAATAATACAATCACTGATTTGGCTGGGGTAATCCCTGGGGATATATTTGTATTTGTATGTGCTGGGAGCCTATACGTGAAACCACATGCTATTATCCCTTAAGCAGCATGGAGAGAGTTGCAGAAAATCGGTAGCATTTGCTACTCAATGCCTCTGTCAGAAAAGCGTGATTTTTACCAGTTCAGGAAATGGAGAAATGCTTGTCACTTTAAATACAGTTTTTGCATTCTTCCCTTAAGGTTTGCGAACTCGATATCATCTTCCACTTTGAGAAGGCCTACTACGTGCTGGATGAGTTAGTGCTTTGTGGTGAAATGCAGGAGACAAGTAAGGACGGTATTCTGCGGGACGTTGATGCACAGGACTTGCTTCAAGAGGTACGTTGACAGGCGATATCCCCTAACAGCACCAGACAGCATGAACTTTCGTTCTTATGAAAGTTAGTAGCTGTGGTGTTGCCTTGCATAATTTGGGTTGCACATTAACCTTATTCGAATCCATTCTTTGTTACCAGCTCAAATTTTTTTAGCTGAATTTGAAGCCACAAATATGTGACGTTTTGTATCGCGAATGTTGACTTTGATTAAAATATTGTCTGGATGTTTTTAGTACAAAAGTGTTTGCGTCTATTTCCCTAGTAGTAGTGAGTCTTGATGGTGGAAATTTTAAGTCAGTTGCCACATCAGCGTACAATTTGTTGTGCTATAAAGTCTTTTCCCACTCGGACGAATTCCCCAGCTAAAGTCTGTTTTCTTACTATGTATGTGGGATTCCAGTTTTTCACTTTTTCAATAGGCTCACCAACTGATTTAATTTGGTCAGCTTTGCTATCGGAAGCAAAATACAGAGCCAGATCAGGTACATATAGTTGTCTTTTTGAATTTCTGCTTGCTGATATTTGACTTCCAATTCATAAAAACAGTTATCAGTCGTGCTCTGTCTCGGGATTTGATGTTTATAAAGTCACAATTTTAAGAGAAGTCATCATATTTCTTCTCTGATAATTGTCTAAAGCTCCTAACTTTAAGCTCTTTTATCTAGAGGCAAGTTAGTAATGCATGTTAAGTCAGCTTTGGCCAGCGATGGCTTGCTAAGAAACGAGCAGTCTTATTTGCCCGATGGCACGTTTGAATGCTCAAAAGTTGGTCTCCTCTTCAAAACAGTTACGAACTACTTTTCGGGAAGTTCGTAGTGGCTTCCAATGTTGAACTGCTATTGCTAAATTTAAATAGGAAGTTGTCTAGCATTTTTTATTATTTACGCGCCACTCTGTATTTGTTGTCTTTGAGATGGTCATAGCAAGCCAAAGTATTATGGAGGAAGGCATTATTCATAGCATGGGGAGGGACTGAGAGTTTGTTGGCGCTGGCTCGAAGGCCATGTCGTTGAGCGGAAGTACAATTTAACCGTGCAGTTAAAAACAACACTCTTAGAGAGTGGTACTACGTTTACTTGTGTAGGAATTGACTATGCTCTGACGTAGGGGCTCAAAAAGGGCTTGCACAACAGTTAACATCTATCCCCTCAGCTAGAAGCATCCTCTACACTTTAGTTTCTGCTTTTCACACCTTGAAAGTAACATTTCATGTTTTGCAGTTGTCCTGAGCTTTGAATTTTGAATGGGGAAATTATGATTGTGCTTTGGGAAGCGGAGCATGCTTTTTCTGCCCTCTGGCGAGCAGATTGATTCTCCTTCTACCATAAAGCCTTTTGAGCACAAGTAGAGATGTGTAGCTGACCAAATGATTGCCAAGCTCCTTTCTCTTGGTGCTTGAGGCTGGCGTTAGTATGTTCTGCCTTGAATAGTCCAAACCTTGCTTTGTTGCTCCAACACCTCTGCTGAATGATCGTTCAGTGGTATTTTCCACCCAACGGAACCTTTAGCGCCATCAGTATGCGTTAGTGCTGGCTTACCGCGATTTTTAACGCTTATCAGGCGCCCAGGATTTCATGTGCTGCTGATTCACTTCCGAATTTCGCCTACTAATCTCTTCCCTAGCTATTTCGATTACCACCGTATCCACAATCACTTAAAATCCAGTTCAAGTTGACATTCTTTTCAACTGTTGCTAGCTTTTCTGCAATCTTCTGCCACAACGCCTTTCAAACTTACCGGTGGTCTTCCTACGCATAATCGCTGCTTTTTTTTGTCATCCCAACCCTCGAGGGTAGAAATTTTTTTTTTCCCGTACAAGAATCAAAAGACACTATCCGGACTTCACGCTTCTGCTTAATTTTTTTTGCACTTTTGGCCCATTGATGTGCATGCTACTAAGCTGGGGAAAACCTACGTAATCATTGAACCACTTGTGCAGCCACTGGTTGCTCTTTTATTCACCTGCCCACGCTCTCTGTCTCTACTTCCCACGTTAGTCCGAGCTGCCCTTCCTCACTTCTCCCTATGATGAAAACACTCTGCGATGCTATCCCAAAAGCTGGGTGTGGCCAATTTTAATGGCCAAGCCGGTTGCCGTAATTTGTACTGCCTTAACAGGTGTAACGCCTTTCTTGGAGGCACTATTTCAGACAACGGGTTTACGACCTCAACGGATTAAAGTATCTACCCTTGCACGACCTTCTTCTTATTTGCATTTCAAATGGGTATCCGAAACGCCTCTTAATAGTTCTGCAGTACTTCTTTTTTTACATCATCCATTCCCGTCGCATAGGAGGGTACGAAGCTATAGTTGACTTATCAAGTTAAGCATTCACCATCAAGGCTGCAATCCGAGTGTAAAATCTCGGACCGCAAGGGCGTCTCAGCTGACGAAAAGAGGGCATTGCCCGCATATCGGCTGCGTCCAACGTTTCTTTGCGCACCATGCACCTCCGATTCTGTATTCATGCTTAGATCAGATTTATGGGCTGGTGGCTCTATTATGCAACTCCAACGAAGTTGCCGGTCACCTGAGCAATTTTATTTGCAAAAAAATCCAAAATTGTCGTTCCGTACTGCACCTCAA